ATTTTGATAATCAAAGTTAACAGGTTGTTTTCCTTTTTTGTCGCGGTGTTTTCTAAAAGAAATAGAAAACATGTTCTCCGTGTTTCTATCGAGATATGGAAACACTCGTGAAAGTTTGAGCGAACTCAAAAAAGTTGTGGAAACACTCGCCTGTGGCTCGTGTTCCCACAGCATTTCTCGTTAGAAATCTCGAGCTCATAATCTAATTGTTTAATAGAAATTAAACACGATGTTTAACCAATCGGCGCGCGTATTTTCTTAGGACTGTTTTCTAATTTAACATGAATCTACTAGTCGTTCGAAACTTTATCTAAATCCTCCTCACAGACACTTCGAAAATGCCGAGAAGCGGCCGTCATTTTGTTAATAAGGGCACACTGCTACGCTGCTCATTATTTATCTATCACAGAATAGATAGCGACTAGCGTAGCCAATCAGAGAACAGCATTCGTGATAGAGCGCTATTTAGTAGATCTATGCTAAACCTCGATAGAAACACGGTGCATGTTCTCTATTTCTCAAATAGAGTATATTCTTATAAAAAGGAAAAAGTGTTTTTCTATATATACCCGAGACTACTTCAGACTCACGTCATGCAGTACAACATGACAACTGATCACAATCCCGTGATCACAATTTAGACATCACTTAATTGCATGGTAGTATTGTTCCTTTTTGACTGAAAATCTTTTTTTACAATCCCAGTAGTTTAAAAAATCTCCTCCCTTTGTGAAATGTAATCAGAGCCTCCATGTGTTGGGTAAATATAAAGACAAAAGGCAAAAAAGTGAAACAATAAACTGCATGACAATGTTAAGTCTTGTAAACATTAAATTTACCACATTTCAATTAAATTTGTTTATTATTAGTCTGAATGTTGCATCGTGTACATTATTTATACATCTTGGTTGATGTCCCTTCAGAGTACATGTAAATCGGTTTCTCTTTGATCACTTTGTGGCTCTTCTCCGTTCAACATTCAACGGAAAAGCGGAATTGAGGTGACCTTTCACACGAGGTCACTTAAATATTTTCAATATTCTATCGCCTGAAGGCATTCACGTTAATTTGGATGAAGTGACTCCACTCCAATTTCAGATTTCCTGTCTTTCCGGATAACTCTTAGAGAAAACATCACCAGGTACGTAATTGCGCAAATTCATTAACTGTTATTTGAAACCTTTCTTTGTAATTACATCGAATCAAAAGGCAATCTGCTAATAACGCAATGAAATTGACACGATCTCTGTACACGCACGCTCGTTCAGTTGGCCTGGAGGTTCAGCACAGACAAGAATCTGTTGACGACTTTTATGTTCTTCTTTCGTTAGATTGTCCTCTGATGTCATGGATATCCAGAAAGGGACTGCAAGGTTTAGCATGAAGTCGTTTCAAGAAAAGATGAACAAGTTAAAACGAGATTTAAAGGAAACAGAGGACAAAGTAAACGAGGTTAAGAAAGAGACATTGGCGGCAAGATGGAGAGAGCATGACGCCAAGCTTAAAATGAAGGAAATGTCGGAAAAAATATCTGATACTGAAGAGCAAATAAGAAAGATTGAGAGCCGTATTGCGTACCAGAACGGTCGCAGGAAAGAAATTGCCGAGAAATTTCGAGAAAACGGGCGAGTTAAAAATGTGTTGGAAGGATCGGCCATCGACGTAGAGGAACTGATGCGTAAACTACACGACGCTCAGCAACACACGATGGAAGTGAGGAAAATGAACAAGGGAATGCAGAAAGTAGTGGCCATCCTAGAGCCTAAGATCGAAAACGCCGAGCGCCGCGAACAGAAGGCCATTGATCGAGCATTTTTGATCAGCCAGAAGCTGACAGTTCATCGTTATCTGGCAGAGAAAAGGCCTGAAGGATTTCCATCACCCGAGGAAGATTTGATCCCTCAGTCAGACCAAGAGACCAGAATTGTAGGCCTCAGAGAGAAAATTAAAGCAGCCATTCTACGCAGAAGGCAAGCAGAAAAGAAGAGATATGCTTTGGAAAGGAAAATTCAGGTTATCGAAGAAGCGTTGGAAAACTACAAGAGACGTAATTTGCAATTTCAAATTAGTAAACGGGAACTTCTAAGCTCTAACTTTTACTAGGTTTCCCTCTTCTTCCCCTAGCTGGATAGCTTGGCATTGATCAGAAAGTTTCTTGGTTCCAGCTGTTTTGAAAATTTATCATAAGTTTCTTGATTGATTAACCGAAAACATAGCACCACATTGATGTAAACTGACATGTTGTGAGACTTTGCCTTGTCAGTGTAGTTCAGCTGTCCGTTGAGAGAAGTAGTGTAAGGAATTATAACATGTTCTAAGGTGCGATTGTATCATTACAAGAGGCTAAAGTAGCTTTGGGAATTATATTGTGGATCGACGGCTCAATCAGGGTCAAATAATTTTAAATGCTAATAATCTGTATGTAGACTTTCAAGGTTTCTTTCTTTGATGTCCTGAGTTTATTTGAATACCAAAATAAACAAACAAATGGCTGTGCAGTCAATTTTAACAAAGACTTCCTTGGGCGCTTAATCAGTTGGTCGCCAGAGTTACTTCCGGATTGTGTGAGATGTCACGCAAGGAATGACATAGCGGAGACAGACGTACAACATATACACTTGCACATTGAAACAACTAGAGGTGTACTGCATGACCGGTTCCTAGCTAGCAGACCCTGGGGGCTGGGGGTGGGGGCTTTTACTCTACAAAGTTTCGTATGGGTTGTCTACACGCCGAGGTCCAACCCTTTACCCTTTTATACCATTTTGACAGAAAAGGTTCCCCTTCAATACACCATTCATTGAAAAAAAGTACCTATGTCTACTTATCTTCAGTGTAACCCCTGAAGAAGGTCGATCCTGTCTAACCGAAATAATGGGCATTAAATTTCCCCTTTTCAGCCGTCCGGTCAGCCTTTCAAATGGTTTTATGCTTTATTTTACACTGCTGATCCTGATCTAAACCAAGATCCGGCTTCACTCCTCTGCTGTTTGTACGAGTGGTCCTTACATTACAGTTTACCCGATTGAAGTACTAAGACCATTGATCTGCATAGCTTGATCCAAACAGAAGCATATATACATCTGTAAGGTGCATTTGTTCCAATCCCTTTTAAATACCTGAATGACCCTTTCGTATACCACAACTTGTACGACCCCTACTCTTATATATACCTGAAGCCTGAAAATTAAAAGGTACTCCTTACGGTCGGAGCTTCCCCGTATTAGCCATTTTAGGGAGTAACCCCATCCCGGGCTATAAGGATATTAATATTTCAGTATCTAAACTTCTGAGTTTTTGTGAATCGATTATTACTTTACAATAACTGTCTAATTTCTCGCGCGCTGATTGGCTCATTTTTATCATCAATAAGAATTACAGACCGGTAAAATTTTAATTTATGCAAGCTTTCAAGTTCACTTTCAGCTGTCAAACTGTCAACTTTTTAACCAATGAGATTTTATGGACTTTTATCAAAAAGCGAGAAGAGCTATTGACAATTATCGCGTCATTTTGAATAAAATTCACTTATCTTTGCGTACGGCAAGTTTACGGCGTCTTTTCCCTCATTTATTCCCGTCATTTGACCATTTTGGGGTCTTGTTATTGTCAGAAAACATTGTTATTAAAAACGCCATCCGAACGCGGGTAGGAAAATTTGATTGAAATGGATCGTAAGATGCCCGTTATCGGTCAGGATATGGGGATAAAGAGAAGTTAACGAAACCATAGTTATCACGGCTAATTCGTCTTGCGTAATTAAACGTTTACACGCCAGCACCAGCATATATATCAATGCGCACTCTGAAGATCTGAATTCACCTTGGTGAGCAGCCTGAATGACAATCGTTCGGTTTTCCAGCACAACTACGAGCCATGGGAATCCGAGAAAAGGGATAAAACAGTGGTTATATTCCTGAAGATGATAACTGTACCAATAGTGAATGCATTAGTTTTGTTTGTCAATTAGTGTGCGAGTTTGTTGCTATCAGATTTACTACAAGTATCTTTGATTATTCTTACATTGAGGAGTTGCTTGAGTCCAGTCCAGATCCCGACTGTTTTACAATTGACTAAGTCCCAGTCTTTTTTTTGTGTGGTCTCGGTTTATTTCCAAGGCAACAACAGTTTCGTCTCCATCGTCAAGCAAGAGGACTACATAGTCGTTTGTTGTAGATATTTAGAACTAAAATTCAGTGTTCAAATCGGCAAGATGATTCCACCGAATGCTTCCCTGGTAAAATATGATAACCCAGTTCTCGTGAGCAGGAACACAGACAAAAAATCACCAAGGGTAAGTTAGAAAACCTTGATTTTGCAACTTGCACAAATTCGGTTGTCTTTGTACAGTGTAAGTTGTATTAACGACTTTCTTTGTTTTTAATATCACATCAAGTGCCTGTGCATCCATTACCTGGTCTATGCAGACGTTTGAGCACGTTGACCATTTAATTCGACCTGGGTCATGACAGCAAAATGGGATACTATAAGGCTTACAGTTTGTAGGGCTCTTGGCGTCTGCGTAATCAAAGCGAGGCGGATCGGACAAGGCTTTTTAAACTCAATTTGCCATGTTATGCCCTTGAAAGGATTGATTCTGTAAACTTTTTTACCGATGAAAGCTTTTTCAAAACTGATAAGGAGCTGCGCTTGAGACTGATTTGTATTAACAAGTTTAATATTTTGCTTCGACGATACTTGCAGGCTCGGTCCCTCAAAGTTAGTCAACAGCAAGGTGCCGGAGGAACTGTAGCGGCAGGACCTGTACCTCAACCACCGCGAACGAACAAACTACCTCCAATGGATGCACAGAAAAATCAACAAACTGATGAGATACTCAATGCCATTCTGCCACCCAGGTATATGGTCGTATTATCTGCTTGTTTATGTACGCTCTGTTTA